TCTGTATAGTAGGTGAAAGCTAATAAAGTAACTGAACTGTTCCTGAATTGTCCCGCTGAGTTTCTTGGGCTGAACCTGACACTGGGAAGTGGATTTGACCCAAAGACCAGAGAGTTGTTCAGCCTAGCCTAGCAAGCTGCATGATGTCAGAAGGCAAGGTTTAAGAGATGTCACTCTATGACAAAAAAACACATAGTGGGATAAGCAAACAAAAGGGGGGGGGACCCCCAAGTGCCAACATAAGTGGAAGAATGTATCTGTCTCCTTGACAATAGATTTTGTCTGAAACACATTGAGTCAATAAAAAAATGGGGTTGCCGCCTTTGTTTCCTGCAAAGTAATTCTGTAAGAGATACCTGGAACTGAGAATGGCAAAGAGATTTCTCCTTGCCTGTCATAGGGATGGAAAATGTCTGCTTTACCAGGGAGCTCATCAAACCTAGACAGCTTCAAACAAGGCTACCTCTCTTGTTTGAGAAGGTGAGACTTTTGGTCCACTTCTTTCTGCCTGAAGAAGATAGGAGAGGTTACTGTGATTTTGCCCACCAGGGGAAACTCCCTCAAACTATAACCTCTTGAGGTCATCTGCCTCCTCCTTGGGAGAACTGAACTCAGTCCTTAGTTCAGATTCGAATCTCTCCCTTCTTCCTGTAAAACAGAAACTGTTGAGGAGGCTACCCTTTTCATAACATATAGTTAGTTTCTGCAAGTCATTTTTCATTTCTAAGTACAAAGATATTTATTACTCTCTGAAAGCATGGTTGTCTAATAGCTATCTTAACTAATCTTTATGTTATTTAGAAGCAAAGCAAAATTGGGTTATGCTCAACTAGAGCCAGATTGGCTCATTGTCCTTGTTTGTAAAGCTCGGGACAGAAACTGTATTTTTCCAGTTGTGTCCTTGAATAGGTACCCAGGACCTGGATGTTCCGGAGTATCCTATAGAAGGAGATGCAAAGTGTTCTCAAGGAGTCTGTCAAAATATAAGGTCATCACGGTCAGCTGAATCCAAGAGGATTATCATTCTTTTATGTAATCTGCATATTAAAGAGAAAACTCCATTGTAATTCATTATTTCTATTCATTTAGAATAATCCTCAGGTCTGCCCATATGGTCTGTATGCTGAACAGCTCTCAGGGTCAGCATTCACCTGTTCACGATCTTCCAATAGGAGAAGGTATGTGTGAATTTAGGAGAAATAGTGTCATTATATTGGCCTCGGAATCCACTACAATATTCTTTAAAAGAGAAAGGCGCAAGGCCTCTGTATAGCTATATTAGTGGTAGCTTAGCCATCAGAACAAAATGTTGAACCATTAAGGTACTGGACTAGGAGCAGGGAGACCCAGGTTCTGGTTTTACGTTAGGCATGGAAGCTAATGGGGTGACCTTGGGCCAGTCACTCCCTCTCGTGCCAAATCAACATCAGCCTCTGCAACAAGCTGGATGAAAAAAACCCTTGTCACAATACCTTTAGATGGCTGGATTTAGAGTCTATTTTGTCCTTTTATATTCACCCAGGAAATTCTGATTCTCCAAGATGGGTGTCTGATAGTGTTCTTTAATCACCTACGTAGACATGAGACAGATTATTTATTACAATTAATAAATTATGGTGCATTACTCAAAACAAAATCACAGGATCCCAAACATTTCAAATTTGAAATATTTTGAGCTCAAAACACTCCATTTTAAGTTTGAAATAAATTGTTCCAACTTTTCTGTAACGGATGTTTTATTTTGAACTGGCAGTGGAGGTGTTTCAAGCTCAGAAGATTTCCAGAATGGCAAAAGGGAGCACTTGACTCTCAAAACGTTTCAAATTTAAATTGTTTTTTGACTATCCCTAGTAAATAAGCCTTTTGGAACAACACTTAAGTATTGCAATATATCCTTCTTCTGGTAGGGAGTAGCATCAAGTGTGTATATGGTAATATGCACCATATGGGTGCCAGCTTATGGCCCAGAACCCCCTTTTTGGACCCTCCAATGTTTTTATGATTCTAATAATTTTTTCTCACTATTTTGACACAAGGAAACTAGAAAAGCTCTAGCTTGATCTAAAATAGGCTTAACACCGTTCAAAAAACTGTCTTCCAAACAAACAAATGAAGTCTTGACCAAGGTAAATATACTATGTAGCTTCACCTACTTTGTAATATCACTCCATCAGCCACTCTGGCCACTGAATTGTTGCCACCCTCTTCAATATAGATTCTAATCAGCAAGGGGCAGTGGAAAGGCTTCTTAAAAAATTGCAAGCTCAAAACTGTCTTAGTATCACTTTCTGGCAAAATTGCAAAGCTGTTTTTCTGTAGAAAGAATGAATGTGCTCCAGTACATCAATTTCCTCCCTACATACAAATGTTCAACTAACAGGAGATGCGTGCAGTCCAGTACTGGAGAGGGAGACCGAACAACTGTGAAAGAACTGATTACATCAATGTTAACAGTATTTGTGATTTAGGAGTGTTACAGAGAAAATAATAAAAGACTTGAACATCTGGTTTAGATTACTCCAATTTGCATCACGTGAGGCAGCCTTTCAAAACCACCCAGAAAGTTCAGCTGGTCCAAAATGCAGCAGTCCACATGCTTATTGTCAGTCTCAATATTACCATATTGCAGCACTGTTGCTGAGCTTCATTGGTTACCAGTGTATTTCTGAGTGTCATTCAAGGTGCTGTGGTTGCTATCTCTAGACAGCAGAATGAATATTAAATGTACATGGATTATATTCATGCATTAGATCCTTCAGGCATAAGCCTGAAGAGACAGGAAAGAGTTCTTTTGATTTCATTTCTGTTAAATTTCCAAGTAAGATTTGGATTGATGGCATAGAGCTTAAACCAGAGAGTTACATAATTTTTAGAAACCAGAAGTGTCTGTAACTCTCAACTGTTCACAGTCTGAGTATTTGCACCAATCCAGAACAATTCCTACCAAGAAGCAGGCATGTGATGGTGGGGAAAAATAGGAGACGGAAGTGCTATGTAAGCGACCTTGAGCTCCTGAACAAAAGGGAAACTCTCTTTCCTTAAGTCCAATTTTCTAGGACTTTCCATTTACCCTTCACGTCAGGACCATAAAGATCTGCTCATTATGGCCATCATTATACATTAACTGCTCCCCCCCCCCACTGCCCTCTGGATATTGGTACCCTTGGGGGTACTATGCAAGTGCTGCTGAGTTCCCAGAGTTCATTGTAAAGCAAGGAGACAATATGGAGCTAAGGGGACTAAGGGTGATTCCAGTGGAAGGTAGATTTATATGCTTAAGGGGGTTTTCCTTCCACTGTTGCTCTAATGGGAGACCAGTAATTACCTGGAAGGTGTAGTGCATTTTCTAGATTTTATGGAGAAAGTTGTAGCTGATTTCAAAGATCAGCAAAGCACTGAATGTTACCAGTATTTGGATAGTCACATTTTCCTTTTTTCTCTGCATTTGTTTTCTCCCTAGCTGGCTGTATAGAATTCTGCCTTCTGTTTGCCATAAGCCCTTTCAGCCTATTGATCAGGGTCATCTGACACATAACTGGAATGAAACTGAACCTGAACCCAATCAGGTAATCATGTTTAATGCAGGGACCCAAGCAAAGAATGTTACTGTTGAAATAAAAACCTTTGGCTCTTTTCATAGCAAAGAAATATCCTGTTTCAGTAGAATGGCTCTAGAGTACTACTGTTGCCATTTACTTTTATAGCTTCCCAACAGGCTTAGCCAGAGCCAGCTTGGCCGCTGTTCTCATACTTCTTGGTGCTTTTCCACTTGAGTGCCATTTTCCTCATCTAGTTCAGTTTGGAATCCCCTCTGGTGTGTGGAGTTTTTTTAGAACTCTTCGTTTAGGTGCTGCATAAGCTAAAATCTCCCAGAACAAACCCTTTCACCTCTGTGACCTACTTTGAATGGATCTCATCAAAAGTTATCCCTATATTCAAAAGGTGGAGAATAAATGGACTGAGGAATTACTTACCAAACTGTTGGACATAGATATCTGGGAAAGTTCTTGAGAAGATAACAGAAATCAATCAGTAAACATCTTGCAAATAAATCAGCATGGAATTGATTAGAGCAAGTCCTGAGAGTTTAAATTTATCTCATGGTTTGATCTGATAGCTTTCTTAGCAGATGCATTTTATTTTGATTTCAAGAAAGTGTTTGTTAAGATACCCTCATTACATTTGTCACCCAGAGTCCATTGGAGGTGGGTGGCCAATAAATTTATTTTATGATGATGATGATGGTTGATCACACAGCCAGATGTTTAGACTGGAATTGGGATTTTTATCCACTTATCGAGTCCTTCCCAAGAACCTGGGATAGGCAGATGTTGTTGTCTGATGGTGTTAAGGGTATCGTCGCAGGATATATGCTGTTCCAAGTAAAGCTGCCTTTTGCAATTGACTGATAGTGATTTTGTCAATGCCGATGGTGTTCAAGTGGTGCTCCAGATGTTTTGAGATTGCACCTGAGGTGCCTATAACTATTGGTATTTCTTATCATCTTCTTCTTCTTCATCATAAAATTAAAGTGGTGGCTGATTGGTATGAAAATTAAGTCTGCTGGCTCAAATACTTAACACAGGTGTTTCAAAACTCATACTCAAAGAGTGCTCATTAGTGGTTCCTCAAACTGGAACTGGGGTATTAAGTGGAGCAATATAGAATGTTAGGGTTGGAAGGGACCTGGACAGGAATGTTTAGACCATCCCAGGGTTGGAAGGGCCCAGGACAGGAATGTTTAGACCATCCCAGACAAGTCACCATCCAACTTTTTTTTTAAAACCTCCAGTGATGGAGCACCCACAACTCCAGGAGGTAGCTGTACCACTGCTTAATCACTTTCACAATCAGAAAATCCCTGTATTTTGAGTTTGGATCTCTCTCTACAAAGCATCCACCTGTTGATTCTTGCCCTACCCTCAGACTCTATGGAGAATAAATCCACACCCTCTTCCCTGTAATAGCAATTATCAGAAAACTGCTATCATGTCTCCCCTTAGTCTTCTCTATGCTAAACACAATGTTCTTTATAGGATTTAGCCTCCAAACCCCTCACCATCTTTGTTGCTCTTCTTTGCACTCTTTCCAATTTCTCAGCATCTTTTTTGTACTGTGATGACCAAACTTGGACATTGTAATCCAGGTATGGTCTGACCTGTACAGCATAGTATGCATCAATCACCTCCCTTGATCTCAACCGTATATGGCTGTTGATGCAGCCCAAGATCGCATTCATTCTAGAAGGTTGAATATTGGATCTTGTACTCTTCGACATTCTTACTAATGATTTGGACAAAGAGGTGGAGGGAATGCTAATCTGATTTGCAAATGATACCAAATTGGGTGAAATAGCTAATACCCCAGAAGACAAATTTCAAATCAATCTTGATAGGTTAGAGAAATGGGCTAAAAATAACAGAATGGAATTTGTTGACTGTAAAAGCCAGCAGTGTGATATTGGGAGGGTGGGAGGGAGGGAGGGTGGGAGGAAGGAAATGCAATTTAGGTTGCATCAACAGAAGTATATTAATTAAGGTATAAATTCCTGAGATGGCATCAGTTATTTTAGAAATGATATTTGTCTCTTTCTTTTAGTTGAGATGGAAGCCATTTGAGATCCCTACAATCTCTCAAAGAAAGCTGGACTTTGTAACTGTAAGTAACCACATAGAAGCATTAAAGGCATTTTTCACTTAATCTTTCTGATATGAGAAAGAATTGTGTTTTCAACTGGAAGGGAAGGTCATGGTGGACTTACCTCCAATCTTAATTCTTGTATGCATACAAATTAACCTACAGGTAGTCCTCATTTAGCAACAGCTTTGTTTAGTGACCATTCACAGTTACGACAGTGATGAAAAAGTAACTTTATGACCAATCCTTGCATTTACGATCTTTGCAGGTCTGTAAAGCAAAGGAAAGCTAAAGTAAGATCATAAGCACAGTTGCAGTTTCACTTAGTGACTGCTTCACTTAATGACTGAGTTGTGGGTCCCAATTGTGGTTGCTTAAACGAGGACTACCTGTATAGATCTGATATATCAATATTCTCTTTGAAAGAACTGGAGAAGCAGTGATAAAATGGTGGGGGTGCACGGAGAGATTCAATAATTCAAGTTTTTTCTAAGGAAAAGGTACTGAATCAATTTTATACAATGGAAGTCCACACACATATAACCAACTGGAAAAATTATTATTTGAAACACCAGGTTTTTGTGAAGAAATGTTAATTTATCATTCCCCCTATTTTATTTCACTCCCTGCTTCCCTTGTTTTTTGCTTCTGGAAATTTTGCAACAGACTTGTGTTTTTGTTTCTCAGGGAAAAAAACTCTACCTTCCTAGTGTTCCACCACTTCTGATAACATGTAGTTTTATTTTTTAATTATGTAGACTTTTAGATTCACTCTACATGTTGACATTGCCTCTGTGTTCAAACATAATCAGTTATTTTTTATCAGTAATCACCATGATTACTTATGAACAAATATAATGTGTTAAAGAAATCCAGACTAAATCTTGTAGAGGAACATAAATTCCTGTCAACTGATAGACTTAAATAAAATTAGGCTCCAAATTTCTTAAAGTTGCAATAATATGAAATCATTTTGGGCCTTTTGCTATAGTCCAATAAACTTTTGCCATACCCCAATAACCATGGGACAAACATCCTAGTAGCCTCTTTTTTCTACCATGCCCACATCTACCATTGCCATCATCTAATCTCTATCCCATCAGTGAGAAACTTTAGTTGTCCTTAGCTATTCCAGTTTTAAAGTTGTATTCTTCCATTTAAGGCAGTAGCACTCTTGACAGTTTCAAAGTGTATAAAATATGAAGTGCTTTGCTCACTATTTGATGGCAGTGCAGTAAGATGACCTGTGGGGGTTTGAAACAACCTGGCCCTTATTGGTCAGACTGGCACAAGCATGCCCCCTCCTTTTAAGTCCAGGGCACTCTCATTTGCTGAGCGTTTTTTTTAGCCCTACTTGATGGTAAGAGGTGGATAGAGCAGCTGATGTCACTGTACAGTACTGGTAATTCCCAGCAGCCCCCCACACAGATGGAGCAGAATGGGTTGGACCTGAGCTTGAAATTTCACAGAGCCAGATCTCTTGCTTTCAGATGCAGATCTTCTAGCCATCAATCAGTGGTGACTGGTTAAAGGCACACTAACAAGTGCAAAATAAGCTGGGGGCTTTTGGAAATGTGTGGCTTAAAAAGTGCATTTTTAAAATTGCACTCCTCTGTGACTCTGCTATTTCTCCTTAGCTGAGTAACCAAGATTTAACTCATCTTGGGCAGCTAGGACTACCAGATATGGGCTGCAATAATGGAGGCGAAAGGCAGAAAAGAGATTTTAGAGGGAATTGGGAATGGCCTTGAAGGAGAAGAAGAAGAGTCACTACTAAGAGATCAGTGAGACAAGTGCAGTTCAAGTCCATTCTAAGAAATTAATTTGAGAACACATCTCAGACAGGCCCCTCCCTAATTCACACAAAGATAAAGTGAGGGAGGAGGGAAGTACATTCAGACTTGCAAGATTCTATTGCTATAGCTGTTCTAATAAAAGTAGTTTTAGACCTATATGGCATTCATTTCTTAGTCTGGTCTACCCTATAGGGCTGTTCAAAATACAGAAAACTGGTCCTCTTTGTTGCTATTTTGATTTCTGCAGCCCAGATTGGGTGGCCCAAGGTGGGATGGGGTGGTTGCATCTCTGAAAGCAAGCATTTTGCCTCAACTGGGATACAGATGATTTTGTACCACTGTAAAATGACAACTTTTACAGACTTCCAATGTTTTCCCTTACCATAATGGCAGGTAATTCCTATGAATATACCTCCATTGAAAGTAATAAATAAACTGTTATTTTAATATTTAAAGCTCTCCTTGATCATTAACTTTGTTAATATCCCTCACATCAATTTCAACCTTTGTCTTTTCAATAATATGACTGTTTTGCTGACTCACTTCTGCTGTTTTTTCCAAGGTCAGGTCACAGTCTTCCAATAGATGTCTATGTAAACTAGAACTCAGGATGGCAGTTGGACTTTGTGTTAAAGAATTTCTCAATCCTCTGAAACAGCAAGCTAAAACCTTGGCCCTTAAATCCATGGGAAACAACATTCCAGAAGTGTCCATATCCTGTAGTTTTAGGAAGGCAGTACCAGTGCCCCATAATTAAACCTCTCCTTAGCAGACAGTTCATTAAACAAACAGAACTTAATACAAAGTTCTGAATTTCTGTTTGTGCCACGTATTATGATGGTAACCAAAGGAAATCAGAGGGATTCTAATTATTATGCCTGCATTTTCTTATAACTAATTTCATTCATAGGGACTATACACTTTGTGTGGTGCTGGTGAGCCAAAGTCACGGAATGGGCTTGCAATCCACATCTTCATCTGTAACACCTCCATGATTAATAGGTATGTGACTTGTGTATGCAGTCAAGGTATCTCATGGGTTCTACCTAAACTTCTAACTCCAGAAGTGTGGATATATGGAGATGGGACAGATGCTTTGACTATTCATTGAGTTTTGACTGCTATCAAGGAACTTTTCCTTCCTTTCCTTCTTCTTCATCCCCTCATCTATATATTATACATAATTAAAAGGTTTATGTCACAAGATGGGGCAGGTGAGTCCTAGCTTAATTCTTTATCAAATGTTGCAAATTTCATTAAAACTTTGGTGAACCTTGATTCAGGCCTTCTTATCTGATTAGAAGAGGGCCCTGAATTTAAGTTGACCCCATCTCCCAAAAGAAAAGGTTAGCAGATCTCAGTTCTGAGCTGGTTAAATTATTTGGGGAAATCAACTACTCTTCTTTTCAAATAAATATAGTAAGTTATCTTAGAAAAGTATAGTGCCAATGGGCAGAGGAAAAATGTACAGAAGTATTATTCTCTCAGTGGGTCAGACACAAGACATAGCAACCCATTTGGCAAGAGAATTTTTAGAAATGTATGCATCACTAGAACAGATAATTGACCTTGGATATTGGAGTTCCACTTTTTAACAATAAAGCATATTCTCTAGCAATAAGAACCAGGAAATTGATGACTGGTCTACTGAGGATCAATATTTTACCTGGGATGGGGGATTCTCAATCTACCAAACCTCTTTACAAGGCCTGCTTGTTGACTGATTGATGGATACAGTTCTTCCTTTTAACCTTTTCTGGTGGGAAGTAATTGATATGCTGTAAAAACTAATTCAGAAATCCAGGGTTGGCAGTTATATGTGAACCCCCAAACAACATGTAGCAGAAAAGCAAAAGGCTATTTTCAATAAAACCATAAATGGACAAGTAATTTGGCACACAGCTCCCCAGGTGGTAGCAAAATACTCTTCCATTGATTTTTATGACACCCAGCTGACTTGGGAGGAAAACAAGTCTTGTCAAAGGCTGAAATATGTTTAACAATTTAAAAAATGGTGACTCTCAAGGGTCTTGCTTGACTCTTGCTTGCTTGACTCATCAGAACTCACTCAGAAAGGTAACCATATTTCTCCACTTTATTTAAATTAAGCCAAACATTCTAGTCTCCCACAGGGGTTTTCTTCCCAAGACCATGTGGCAGGAAAGACTGGGATGGGGGAGACAATTTCCTCCTCCAGGTGAAATCTGCACACATACACACCCTCCCAGGTGTGGGTTCACCCAGTGCAGTTCCTAGTCAAGAAGGAAGCTCAGATTTTAGCTTGACTTGTTCCATGGTAGATGAACAAGACTTAATAATAGAAACCTCTGAAAATAATAGATTTAAGTTCTAGCACCATAATATACTATGATTGTAATGTCTAGCAGTTCACCACAAAGTTCTTATGAGGTGGTTAGAGGAATAGGTAATGGGAAAGGGAATTCAATATTTTTACTGCCTACCTGATTTACACAGCAGAGTTTCAGATCTAGCATAACAGGGGAAGGAGTAAAAGCACCTCTACTTCCATAGCAAAAGACATGGTAAAGGTGAAAAAATCAGTCACTGGGAGATATTTAGAATAAAATAGGGCACAGCCAAGCTTTTTGATTCTCATGTTTCTATCCAAACATAAAGCAAACCCCTGCTGATTTCATTACAGTACTAGTAGCACTTGAGCATTAGATATACTAAACAATTTAAATAACTGTTAACCATCCTGAATGCCCTATGGGCAGAAGAGTGGAATATAAATCATAAACATAACTAAAAGAAAATAAAGCTGTATTGGGTTGCTTGAATGTTCCTCACACAAAAAATAATCTCTGTACACATAAAACTAGCAAGGCCATTATTAACCTGAGCTCCATAATATGCTCCTTTTCTATAAATGTAGTCTTTTTTGCCTGGGGGATCATTACTGCTTGGTGAAATTGTACAAGAATGATGAAGGACATGATATACAGCTATCAGAAGCACTACAACCTGGCAACTGTTGAAATGTAAATTTAAATAAAATAATTCATGGAAAATGCATAGCATAGCAATAGTACTGTGCATGCTTTGAGAATGATTTGAAAGAGGTGCTTTGGAAATGACTTATTTAAAGCAGCCTTCTCTCTTAATTATGCTGACTATACAGAACTAGAACTTCACATGCTTTTTTGCAGGTATGCATAGTTTGCCCTTCTTATTCTAAGTGCAAGAAATTGACTTCCACTTTTAATATTGTGGAATTTCTGTAAGAAATTTACTTGAAATTTAAGTTTCATTGAAATCAGTTGGAACTTCCTTCAAATTACAAATTTAGAACCCAAAGTTCATGATATATTCCCCAAAATTGTGTGAGCTCAGCAATCACTTGTTCTTTTTTCAAAATAGATGTTTTTGCAATTCAGATGGAGACTTTCTGATTGGTGAGTTGCCAACTATTATACTGATAGTTTGTAAACTGTTATTTCTTTTACGATCTGGAATGTTAATTGGGCTAATGAAAGAATGTGAAGAATGCTTATTACAAAATCAGATTACATACTAATCCTTCCAATATTTTTGCCTTATTATAATTCAGGAGAGGGCACAATCCACGACATCTAGATTGGCAAGAAAATAAGAGGAATTAGAAAACTGTCCTATTCCACAGCAATGTTTGAAAAAGTTTATTAGCAGCTATGCAACCAGAGATGACAAAAGGGAAAAGTCAGTCTGACTTGAAGAAAAAAAATCCAAATATCAAATAGTATTTTAAATAGTAGGGTTATGGGACAAAAAAACAAAATTTATGAGGCATCAGAAAATAGTTTCTTGATACTCCAAGTCCAGCTTCTCTCCCATCATATTGCCACTTACCATAGTGTCTTTTTTGTCTCTCCAAGTCAGTCTTGATTCCCGGCAATTGCCTGGAGAAGTCTCTGCAGTTTTCTTCGCAAGATTTCAGAAGTGGTTTGCCCTTGCCTACTTCCTAGGGCTGAAAGAGACTGATTGGCCCAAGGCACCTAGATGGCTTTGCGCCTGAGGTGGGACTGGAACTCATGGTCTCCCAGTTTCTAGCCTGGGGTCTTAATTGCTACTCCAAACTGGCTCTCACCATAATAATTAATGCCTCCCAAATTATTTCTGACTAAAATTAGATCTTGGTTCATCTGAACCTGTGAAAATGTTAATCCATTTTTCATCTCAGCATGTTTACTTTTACAAAAGATTTTAATTCACTGAGCTAATCCAAAATATTTCAACTGGTTCATTTTAAACAAAATCCAAAATCCATAATCAGGTTGCATCCTAGTTGTGAATGCCCACATTTTATTTTGAATTTGTTTATAATATCCATTGTCCTGGAAGTTTATCCCATGCTTCTAAACAATCGTAATTCCTGGTCATTCTGCTTCCACATCTTTAATGCCACAGCCTTTGCCTTCCATATGATCTGAACCTGTTGGTTGCTTAACAGACGCAACACTCAGGCATAGCTAAAGGAGTTTGGGACGAAACACAGTATCAGTGACAATATTAAAACATAGAAGCTTGTAGATTTCAATATCTTCTAGATTTGTTTTTTAAATTTGACAAGATTAATTTAAAAAGCAAGATATCTTTTTTTTTTTTTTTTTAAAGTATCACAACATTATCTGGGGTAAACAACATATATAAATCTGCGCTTGCATTTTCTTTGTCCAGCACCACAGCAAGGCAAACTGCTCATCGCTACAGAGTTTGGCAAGCTGCTAGTGGAGCCCAATGAGATCTGTGTCATTCAGGTAGGCACTGGAGCAATATTTTCCTGTTTTCCACTCTTTACCGCATTTGACTCCTGAGTGAAATGGGCAGATGAACATGCTTGAATTAATTCCATGGCTACTTTTTTAAAAAAATGCCTACTTTTCATGCTTTCTTTAAAAAGATGTGATTGTGTACCCATGGGTAACTTTTCAACATTTTCAATAATGTGAATAGATCTCCTTCAGATTGTTTATGTGTGAGATTAATACTGCATCATTTTAGAAAAATATTCCATGTATCAGTCAAGACTGTTTCTTTTATCGCCACTCCAACTAAGCAGAACATAGACTCAAATACTTCCTTGCTTGCTCCTAATGCTTATATACATTATATACATTATATACAGCTGAATCTAGGTCTATGTTTGGGCAATATGCCCGCCCGGTTCTAGGAGAACCTCTTTCTACTGCAGCCTTCACATTGTTCCTACTTCAGGCTGCTTCCAGCTATATGCAGTTGGCTCACAAACTAGCACATTTCTCAAATTAAGATGAATAATTTGGGTATATACAATAGAACTACAACATTTTCAGGGGGGCACTGAGCTAAATCTTCAGAAATTAACATCTCAAAGGGATTTTATTAGGAGAAAAATAAATGTGAATAATGAAATTGGAAGGCTTCTGAAAAGGAAAGTGCATTTTCAGTAGCTACCATCAGATTTTGGAACTCTCTCCTGGCAGAGCTGGTGCCTTCATTCCTCTGGGGTTTTAGGAAAATGGGGAAGATTTGCCTGTTCCAACTTGCCCTCGAGGACAATATAAGTGATGCTTGTATCATGTAGTTTTTATTCTTTTTTTATTTTGTCATTGTTATATGTTCTTGGGGTTTGGGAGTTATTATTTTATGTTGACATTGTTAGCCTCCAGGAATGGATAGCATAGAAGCAAAATAAATAAATAGCTACATTTTTGTAATATCAACAGAAATTCAGATGCTAATTTGTAAGATACCTCCATCACTTTACTTTACTAATAAAGATACCTCCATCACTTGATACAGTAATTCAACTTTAGACAGAGATAGCTTTATCTCAAGGCTACCTTTAATAAAACTTTTCTGCTACTTTAAGAAAGAAAACCATAATATGATTGCTCAACATGATTTAGCTACTCAGTCATGATTAGGCAAACTGCATTATTTTCAGGAAGACCTTAAGTGGGAATTTGATACATTCTCTGACAGTGTACTCTTGTTTGGTACAATAATAATCCATACTAATGTTTACATTTGTACTTTGTCTCTTCCTTAGAAAGGGATGCGTTTTAGTGTGGAAGTATTTGGAGAAACTCGAGGCTATATTCTGGAAATATATGGTGTACATTTTGAATTGCCTGACCTAGGACCTATTGGTAAATATACTTAATACTATTTCTGCTTCCAAAAATAATTATATAACTTTTCTTATTAGGACTGTCTAATAATATACATTTGTTTAACACTCCTGGCATGCATTTATGTTTTTATGTATGAGATACATGGAACTGGGTGACAAATGATTCATGACAGCAACAACAAAAAAGTGTAATGTTCTATCCCAAGGTATGGAGGGTATTAAACCTAATACAAACAAATGGATGAGCTTCTCTGTCCTTTATATTGCTAATAAAGCCAGTGAGAAATCATCCACTAGTCATGACAATAGCTGTAATACTTTGAATGTTTGCTGGGAATTCTGGGAGTAGCCATTTAAATAGCCTTCGAAGTTGGGGAAGACAGCTATAAATGATCATATTATGCACTGAATCAGAACATGAACTTTTGCAGTTCTTTCAGCTTCTCCTGAGTGTGCCAACATTGCTGCAGTTTCTCAGAATTTATTTTCCAGTTTTTTCCAGTTGAGTTCTCTTGACTGCAACCAACCAAACCCTCCCTCAATATTATTTTTCCACATATCTGAAGAGAGAGGGAGATAAAAGATTGAAACAATCAATCTTTATTATGATCATATGACCAGAAGTCAATTACTGTACAGTTAAGAGATACAGGTAGTCCTCATAGCAACCGCTCATTCAGTGACCGTTTGAAGTTACAACAGCGCTGAACAAGGAGACTTACAGTTGATCCTCAAAGTTGCAGCTGTCGCAGTGTCCCATGGTCACGTGATCACCATTTGCAACCTTCACTGCTGGCTTCCAACAAGCAAAGTCAATGGGGAAGTTGGCAGGAAGTCACAAGTTGAGGTCACGTGACATCATGCTTAATGTCCACACGTGATTCACTTAACAATCACAACTAGAACTGCCGGAACTGCTGTCATAAATCAGCAGTCACAGATTTTTTGCTTTACAACTGCATTGCTTAGTGACGGAGTTCCCAGTCCCAATTATGTTTGTTAATTGATGACTATCTGTACTTCTGTTCCATACACACACACACACACACATATATATCTTTAAGTATAAAAAGGTGAAATTATAAATATATTTTCAATTTATACAATTCTTCAATCAGAAGGAAAGATGGATAATGGAAGCATAAAACTGACCAACTGGAGAGGATCTATCTGGATCCCAGTCAGATAAAAGAAACAGGAAATAGAAGTTGGGTTCTCTACCAGGGAACTTCTTCAGGATATGATAGATAAAAGTCATCCAGGATCCCATGTAGAGTGAGCAAAAAAGGAGCATATGGCTGAATTATTGCCACAGGAGACATATCCTTGGTGTGTGTGTGTGTGGGGGTATTTTTGATTTAAAAAAAAGGCAGAAGGCAAAGCTTCCCATTTGGCCAAAATAAACACCAACAAACGTTCAGAACTGTGATGAAGAGAAGCTGGCATATACACTTTTGGAAAAATCCCATGAGTTGTAAAACTGGAAATTAGACTTAATTTGAAGATCAGCATTCCAGATGCTGCTTAAGAACACTTATGACATTTTCAGAGCTTAGTGGGCAAAGGGTCTCCAAAGAGATCTTAGGGAATGGAGCTTGCCAATAGCATTTTTTCTTTTTTTGCCAGCTTGAGTTAAAGTGGTCTCTGAGAACCAGTAGGGCCAACTCACTAGGAAGAAAATTAACTTTAGCCAGAGGTTAAAGAGAGCTCTAGCATGGAGATCAAGCCTGTCTCTAAACATAAAGCAGCATTCTTAATACATCTTGGAATTGCAATAACTGTACAGTAATAAAACTTGGGACTGAACAACTTTGAGGATGTCAAGCTTTATAAACTAGTCTTGGGCACCATAGAGAAGCTGAAAAATGACCTTGACTACAAAGACCTTGCAAACTGTGGGGATAAAGAGTGCTCCCTTCAAGTGACAGAACCTCAGGATAACTGAAGAGCTACACTAAACACACTAGCGAGAAAGGTGTTCTCCCCAGGACAGTGAGGTGTGGAACAGCACTCCAAGGTATTTATAAGTGTGAACCTGCTTGATAGAAATCCCATTAATTTCCCTATTATGGGGTTTATGGTAGTTTCGTGGAAATATTAAAACTTGAGTTTTCTAGTGGTTTGTTGTAGGTTTTCTTCTGGGCAAAAAGAATCCAATGCTCTCAGGGCCCTTCTTATTCCCACCTGAGAGACAGACATGATTACATCATTGTCTGCATATACAACTGCTGGAATCATTTGATCAATACGGGGGGTGATGAGTGGAAACCAGAAGAACCTGGATTGCTGAATTAATATACAAATTATAAACTGGGAAGCTAAAACGCATCCCTGCCTTACCCCTCTCTGAATAGTAACTCTCAAAGAGGTATCGGAGTAGAAACATTGAAAGCAAAAAGGCAACATTTTGTCTATCGAGTATCCCCTTCGTTTTCCCCACAGCCTCTCCCTTGGGAATGAAATCAAAGGCTTGAGTGTGATGGAATGGAATTATGAAGGCCAGGCGCAGGGAGTTTCTTAGCTCGCCGATGGAGCGTGGGAACTACAAGAGGATGAGACTGGCACCCCCCTGAGGAATTCACCTGTTGTGGCTGGCTG